CAGCCTTTTCCACATCCTTGGTGACAATGTTTTCCCCCGTACCCAGTAAGGGATGGAGATTCCCTTTGCCTCTCTTTTTGTCATTAATGCATTTGTAAAAACATTTTTTGTTAACTCTTACATCTGTGGCCAGATTGAGCTCTAGTTGGGCTTTTGCCTTTCTAATTTTGTCTCTACTTGACCTAATGAGATCCCTGTACTCTTCTTGAGTTGCCTGCCCCTTCTTCCAAAGGTGACAAACTCTCCTCTCTTTCCCGAGTCCCAGCAAAAGCTCCCAGTTCAGCCAGGCCGGTCGCCTTCCCCACCAGCTCTTCTTGCAGCACATGAGACAAGTGGCACTGGGAGTACTAACACAAAGATTGTGGCAGTGGAAGAGACCAGTCCGATATTTTTCCAAACAACTGGATAAGGTCAGTAATGGTTGGCCTGCTTGCTTGAGGGCGGTAGCGGCAACTGTAACCCTAATTGAGGAGTCTTGAAAACTGACACTGGGACAAGCAATCACCATGTTTGTACCTCACGCTGTATCATCCCTCCTTGAAAATAAAGGACACCACTGGATTTCCCTGAATATGTTACCTCAAGATCAAGCTGTGTTACTAGAATGAGATTATTTCACACTTCCTTTGACCTCCACCTTGAATCCTGCTACCTTAATCCAAATCTCTGAGTCTGTTGAGCTGCAACAAGCTTGTCTAACCACTATTGAACAAATGTATTCCAGCAGATGAGGCCTATGGGATGAACCCCTGCCTGATGCAGAAGTGAGGGTCTTCACTGATGGCAGCGGCTACATGCCGGAAGGAAAATGAAGAGCTGGATATGCAGTGCTAACAAACACCCAGACACTAGAAACCAAGGCACTGCCCAGCAATACATCTGCTCAAACAGCAGAATTAATAGCCTTGACTCAAGCTCTGGCACCAAGTCATGGAAAGAAAGTCAATATATACACTGATTCTAAATACCATTTGGAGTGGTGCATGCACATGGGGCAATTTGGAAAGAAACAGGGCTATTAAACTCACAGGGGACTGCAATGAAATATGAAATAGAAATTGTGAGACTACTACAAGCAGTTCTCCACCCAAAAGAGGTTGCTATAATGCATTGTGGAGCTCATCAAAAGGGAAACAGTGAAATCGTAAAAGGAAGTAAGAAAACACATCAGCTAGCAGAAGAGGGAGACCAGAAAGAGTTAAATCTAGAAGCAGCTTTAATTCTAGGGTCTTGCCACCGAAATACACTGAGAAGGAAGAACAATTAGACTGCTCCAAAAGTGATGAAGAATGGTGGGTAATGCCGCTAAAACAGTTACTGGTCCTTGAGAAAATGATGGAAAATTTGCTTAAAAGACTACACCAAGAAACACATACTGAAAATGCAGAGTGTAGCAGTACATTTCTTCATTGCAAAGTCTACCTGCAGTGCCAATAACCCAAAAATCGGGAAAAAGATTATAGCAGGAAGCATGAAACAAGGAGTAACTCCTGGGGAATACCAGCAAACAGACTTTTCAGAATTACCTAGATGTAACCAATGTAAGTATCTATTGGTAGATACCTTCTCTGGTTGGCCAGAGGCTTTCTCTCACTGTACCAGCAAAGCTGGAGAAGTAATGAGGATTTTGTTAAAAGAAATTATACCTAATTTGGTATTCCAGATGGTATACCTTCTGATAATGGGCCTCATGTTATTACATTAGTACTGCAAGAAATTTCTAAGTTTTTACAAATTAAGTGGGAATTACATACACCTTGGAGACCACAATCAAGTGGGAAAGTAGAAAGTATGAATCAGGTTCTTAAAAGACAAGTTTCTATACTTTGTCAGGAAGCACATCTTAAGTGAACAGAGGCTTCACCCTTAGCTCTTTTGTGAATTCGAATAATCCCTAGTGTTAAGGAAAAAAGAAGTCCCTTTGCAATTGTACACAGGAAAGCATACCCTGTGAAACTTCTGAACGTCAAGCGAGACCAAATGCATATATACTGTGCTATTAAAGACTTACACTGCAGTCAAAGTAGAGGGAATTGACTCCTGGATTCACTGCACACAGGTGAAGAGAAGACCAGAACCAGATGAAGAAAAGTGAACCTTAAAGCCATCTGAAAAACCCAAGCTTTGATTGACCAGAGATTTTTAATAGCATCTAGGAAATAAGACTTGCTTAGAGAGAGGTTGAATGTCCAGGAGGACAACTGTTCCAGTGTTACCTATGATGAGCATTGGATAAATCGACACTACTCTTGAGAAGATGAAAATCTTGGGAGTGGTTTCAGTTTGTTTAATGTTCACTGTGTGCAAAGGAAATTTGATCCTGCAACTTATCCAGTCATTTGGGAGAATCCATAATAGTATTGGGATTCTCCCTTCTCCCTTACAGGATGGTTGGCAAGCTTACTGCCAACTGGAATCATGAGTATAATTACCATAATTAAAATTTATATTGCCTTGAGTTGTGTTAAAAGGTTAACCATACAAACTGCCACAGGAAACTAGGTGGTGGTAATGAAAAGAAATAGTAAGACATACGAGAATTATAAGAAAAGATCTCAGTCTCAAAGCGGGGAAAATGATCTGAGACACATGGAAGATTCTAGTGCGCAGATCAGCAGGAGTTAACACAATCATAAAGATTAATGAAACTGGATCTGGTGGTCAAGAAGATAAAAAAGTATTTGTACCTAAGCAGTAAACCATGAAGACTTAGCTGTTCCTGCACTCTTGAAAAAAATGTAACTGTGGTGAAGTCAGCAGAACCCACAGTAACTGGGCTAAAGGTAAAGGTGGGAGATGGTGACCACCGACTCAATTGAGGGACTATGCAAATTTCCCCCCCTTCCCCTTCTAGGAGCATGTGCGCCAATTTGAATATGCGTAACCAATAATAAGCAGTGTGGTAATTATTAGCCAATGAATGTAAACTTGGGAGGGTTCTCTGTTGTTTTCACTGATCGTGTAACGGAATAAATATGTGGTAATTCCTCGGTGTGGCGCGCTAGCTTTGTGGAATACCACCTAGCACCCGTATCCGCGCAGATACGTGGTAACAACATACCTCAACTCTGTGTGTATATTGGCATGTTGCACACCAGGTATACATACTTCTGGGACAACATATGGGTCATAAATAATCCATACGATGGCTCTCCACTTCCCAGACACATTCTGGGTATTGCACCAGCAGCAGCTGTTCTTATCATCCCATCAGACAAGAGGAGTCTTCAGCCAGTTCTTCTCTTGTGACAGACTTCAGGGCCTCAAATAAGCCTTAGTTCCCTCACATATTCATTTATGACTTTAAACTGGGCAGCAAATAACATGTGGAAAGTTTCATACACTTTTTGCTCCTGTTTTTAAACAGGTTTTTGCTAACAGCAAACCCCAGTGGGACCCTCCTCCAAGTGTGCCAGAGCTGACTGCAGTTACACACCCCTGCTGCATGGCCTCTTCATGAGCAGATTTTGGGTTAAGGTGGGTTGCACCAATATGCATCCAACCGCCTCCACCTGAGCACACACCACTGCAGGGGAGCAGGCTAGAGACCCTGCACCAGCCCCTAACACTTAATCCATGCCACATGCCAGCCCTGCTGCTCCTCCAGGCACAGGTCCCATCTCACCCCACCCTGCACCAGGCTGCCCCTTCTCTTACCTCAAACTGCCCTTGGTCCAGACCACAAGCCCCAAGAAACCACTGCCCAGCACACTGGTCTGACATGATGCTGCTGGAGGTGTCGCTCCCACTGCTGTCATAGTTGTAGTATTTTCCTGGAAAAGAGGTAGGAAACCGTTTTAAATCCATAGTTTAGGACCCCAGCTCACATGTGCTGCCCCTACACCCCACCCTGTGAGGCAGGAGTACAGTAGCTTTTTCCAAAAGGCTCTCCTCTCTTACCTTTCCCAAACCACCATACCTTTTCTGTTCCCTCCCTGGTACCTGCTCCTTCCCCTCCACTTGGAGGGATGGCATCTCCCCTCCTTCCCCCATCTCCTGCAAGGCTCTGCAACCCAAGGAGCAGCCATCTCCCTCCCAAGGGCACACGGTCAGCCAAGCATGGTTCCCCACCGGCAAGCACCCACCATTCCAGAGCATCCTCTCAAACGCCTCCTTGCCCTTTTTCAGGATGTCGGTGTATTTCTGCTGGATCTCGACGTCCCCGAGTACCTCTGCCATCTTGCACATCATGCAGACGGCTGCCAGCCACAGCCCGCCGCAGTACGCGCTGCCGGAGCAGAAGGAGAGCAGCGTCAGCAATGTGGGACACCCCACAGGTGGCACGGAGCTCCCACAAGAGATGGGGACCATGGTCCCAGCTCTGAGCTACCTCCCCACGCCATGCTCCCCATCTCCAACCCCCATCTGCCTCTCTTGCTCACCTGGCTCCATTTACCACCCACGCATCATATGTCTGGTCAGCAAAGCCACCATTTTCGATGAGCCCATCGTTATCTGTATCAAACTTCAACTCTGACTCCATCACAGCCTGCGGGAGAGGCAGGAAATGGTCACACAGCCCCTGCATTCTGGCCACCCATCACACTCTGCTCAGGAGCGTCTATCGTCTTGGGATGTCACACAGCTCCCAAGGGAAGCGAGAAGGCGGGGATGCCCCATGGTCTGATCTCCTCCCAGTACCTGGCAAACTGGCCACATGTCCCGCAAGTACAGGGAGTCATGTGTCAGGTCGTAGTCGCGGTACACCTGCAGCACAAACTTCAGGTTGAGGTCCTTCCAGTCGGCCGTGTCGTGCATCAGGTAGGCATTGACACGCTGCCACGGCTCGTCACCTAAGCAAGGACGGAGTGGGTACAGCAGGGCAGCAAGCAACGAACAACCCCGCTCCTACCCAGGCGCAAGGTCCCAAGGGTGTTGTGATCAAACAGCACTAACTCGGTGCACCCTATGCCACCTCCAGCATGAGCAGCCATCCTGCTACTGCTCAGCTTCCCGCCATCTCCCTTGTACAAGCTCCATGCAGCATGGTCTTCATCACCACCTCAAACCATCCAAGCTTTTCATTCCCAGAAAACAAACACTGTTTGTTTGAATGAAAATGTCCATGCACATATGTCTTTCCCACATATGTGTTTCCCACAGCTTGGGAGTCAGCTACCCTGAGAAGGTTGTGTGAGCAGCCCTCACCCCCTCTGCCCCCACAGCAGGCCCGGCCAAGACCCCTCACCTGGGTCCCCAACATCATGAGGCACCACGTTCTTCAGCTTCACCTGGGCTGTCTGACCACACATCAGGTACTGCCGGGGCTGGACATCCTCGTTCACCACTGTGACAGCTGGAGAGGACACGGAGCAAGAGAACATTAGAACGGCAGCAGCCACCACAGCAGCTACCTCCAAGCACGGGCCGGGCCACCAGCACCAGCACACCAGGCTGCCCCTTGGGGATCTGGCTGCAAGATCACAGCCCTCTGCAAAGGTCTGAGGGGACACCAGGCTGCTCTCAGTCTCCCCTCGGCAGGGGACATGCAACTGTCACCACCCCCTTAAACAAGGTGGCAGCACCCTGGGCTGCAAGGGAACACCAGTGGGCTCAGCCTTCCTGCAGCCCAGCAAAGGGCTGTGCTCCACTACTGGTCGGGCCACCACCAAGTAGCCTCCAAGCCCACTCAAAGCATCTGGGTCTGCAAACAACTCCATGCTTTTCCTCTGCTAGGGGCACTGAGAGTGCTGGCAAGACCAGGGACTCCTCCAGAGCAGGCAGAGCCAGCTGTGCACCCCCAGTGTGGCCAGAAGGCATCTCCGTGCTGGGCAGAGGAGAAGCAGCAACACTGGGGGTTTGCAAGTCCTGGGCCCACTACAGGAGCTGGAAGGGGATGCTGGCTCCACAGCACAGATTTCTACAGCAGATGCTGTCCCAAATCCTCCACCTCTTCCCTAGGTGAAGGTGTCAGCAGGCATCACGCCAGGGTCTCCTGGGTCACTCACCAATGTCATACTGCAAGCTGATCTGCCGCTTGGGCCACAGCATGACGAGAGCAAAGGAGGCGTAGAAGTGAACATCATAGGTGTTGTACATCCGGTACTCCTGGCCTGGAAGGACCGGGGAGATGGTGAGGGATGGGAGACCTGCCACAGGGAGGGGAAAAGAGGGGCAGGTCCTCCCTCCCACATGGCCCAGGAGACTGGGCTCTTTCCCAGCAGAGGCAGGGGCTCCCATTTAGAATTGGATTTTATTCTCTACATATAGCATCCAGTGGTCTGGAGAAGACCTCATGCCATATCCTACAGGCCTTGGTCCTGCAAGGGGTTTTGCTGGAAAAAGAGCTGCTCCCTACCCATCAGGGATCCCCCCAGCAAGTCAGAAACACCTGGTGACAGCAGGGGAAGGGTTGAGTTGGGAGCGTCCATCACATCCCTGCAAGTTACCTTCCAAATAAGCAAACCTTCCGTACTCCCGCAGGACAGGGAGGAGGTGGGAGAGGCCAGCCCCCGCCGAAAAACAGCCCCCGCCGGCCCCTGCAGGTCCTCGGCACAGCAGTCCGGGGGCAGCTCCACCCAGATGGTCCCCCCATCCGTCACGAAGTACAGCTCATTGAAGAGGGCCGACTTGTACCAGGAAGGCAGCTGGCTGCAGGCAAGAGGCAAACTCAACCACAGCGGCCGAGGTGGTGATGCTCCTGCTCTGACCAGCCCCAGAAGGCCACCGAGAAGGTTGCTCCCATCTTCCCTACCTGTTCTCCAGGATGGGCTTCTGCCATGCTTCAATCTTCCTCTCCCACTCCTCATAATGTGTCAGGGCATGATGCGACAGGGCAGGAGCGGCATCACCTCCGCTGCCAAAAAAACGGGTGTACCGCCTGCTGAGCAGGGGTTTGGTGAGTACGCTGTGGCTCAGGCT